AAAAACTGCTATTTGGATATCAACTTAACGTGACAGTACCCAAATTCCATCAGTCTACTTCATGTTAATGACCAGTCTCATTGGCATGTCAGCTGTCTGTTTGTCCTTCAAAATACACCAATGATATATAAATCACTATGTTTAGTACATACTGCAATGTCTTCAATGGTGAAACACTAATAACCATATATGATGTAATCCGTAAAATAACTTGGCATAGGATTCTACACATTCCGGCTTCCCACATGCAAAAATACATGTATTTAAAAAAAATATCAAATTAGAGGTTTGACCATTAGAAATGCTGGGAGGAGATACTATTTGAAAAAAAACTGGGCAAATTTCCTGTGTTTCCCTTGATTTATTTTAGAAGGATGTAGGCAAAAATTAATTTTTCCTTCACTCTGTCAAAGAATTGCAGATTTGTTTATGAATAATTTTTGTTTATGGTATTTTCCCCCTGAAACCCCTTATCAATATTTGTTGTTTATTCACCTAGTTCTCCTGCAATTGTGGACAACACAAGCTATGGTTGTATTGGACCAGGGGTTAAAAATGAAATATGTAGCGAAAATCACAACCAAAGGAGTCTGTGTTACCAGCATTTTATAACAAAAATCACATTAGTGTTTTCACCGGGACAATTTTAAGCATGACGATACAGCTGTTTGAGTTTTCAAAAAACTATTAGGTACAACATAATTATGTTATTTATGTAAATCAGACATTGATATGTTATCATTAAACCATTCATTGTACATAAAATACAATGTTTACTGAAGTTAAAACCAAACAATAATGTGCTTTCCTAATTACAGGCGCAGGCGCTTTAGGCCAGCTCATCTGGCATCTCCTCGCGAACACGAACAGTTGACACAGACCACTAGTTAGCTGAGGAATACTTGCTGCCAGCGTAAGGTGTAGACTGCTTTGCAATCAGTGAGTATGCCATAGAATTTAAACTACCATGGGACACCAAGTTATCAGGAATATTATTAATTTATGTTAAATTATATTGTTCAGCAATGAAGACATGACAAGAAGGTGAGTTGTGATTTGAGAGTTTATTAAATTTTCACTCTGTGATCATAGCTTGATTGTTGTCTATTACATGTGTATTTAGTGTTATGAATGCTGTAATCTTGTTCTGAATGACTTTACTCCCAGCTACAGTAATTTGAAATAGTTGTTCTTTTTTTTTTTGTAAATCCATGCTCATTGGAATACTGATCAAAAGCTAATAGTAAGGGGTGGGCCATTACAAACTGTTAGGGTGGCGGAATTGAAAAAAAAAATTGCTCAGGAAAAAAATACTGCAGGATCAATAACAAAAATAAAAATTCTGCATGCATTCTGCATTTTCTGTGTAATATTTTTTCTTTAAGAAAAAATTCTTAAAGAAAAAATATTACACAGAGAGTAAATATAAAAAATTACAGCGAATTGCTGAGTTGCTAATGGTCCACCCCTAAGCCAAAACAATCAGCATATTTCATGCAATACTCACAAATAATTCACATGATAGTTCTAGGACCTCAATAAAGCTTTAGGAATTATTTCATAATGCAACTTTCACCTCACTTTTGTAGCTTTGAATCTTATATTCTGAGCCTTTGAGCACAACTTTTTATATTATCGCGGTGTATTTAGAGACATTGTGATTATTGTTTTACTTTGAGTCTATGGTAATTTAAAATTAGTGATTGTGATAAAATTGGCACACATACCAGTAGTTTAAATCCTTGGAGACGTCATAATCATAAAATCCCATACATTCGATAAGAAAAAAAGTTTTGGTTTACACGTGTCACAAATTCTGCCATTCCAGGGAATATTTTTGTAGCGTCCAACTTCAATTTTATGAGTGTGATGTGATGTGATGATTCAGTCGGAATTTGGATATACCATCACATCCAGTGCGTATCTAAATTCATAATTAAAGGTATAAACCCCAGATAAGTTGTATCATATATAAGACATAACTTGAAACGTACCAGTCGAAGAAAACAAACATGCTACTCTCTCATTGGTCTGAAAAACAAACATGCTACTCTCTCATTGGTCTGAAAACAAACATGCTACTCTCTCAACGAATGTGGTGTTGGGTAGCCACATTCACAAATCTTGTGTAGAATCCCATTCATTGACTTCGAAACTTGGGTTTGTGGCATCATGGAGATACAAATAGTGTGGTACATTTTTCTCCACCAATTTAGAGTTGTGTTTATATTAATTAATATTATTAACAGTTCTAATTATATGTGGGATTA